TTTTTTGTGTGTGTAATTTAAGAGATTTAAAATATGCAAAGTAACTAATGCAATAAGTAACTAAAATAATAATAAAACTCTATTTTAAAAGTTATAATGCTAAAGTTTGTTTACCGCATTTTCTATTGTTAATTAGAAAATACTAGTAAAATAAAAACAAAAAGGTTTTAAACATTCTTTTTTTTTATTTAATTAAATTTTAGAGATATGTATTAAAATTTAGAGATATATATAATTCTACATGAACTGAAAAAAAAAAAAAAAAAAAAAAAAATTAAAGAAATGACTAATGACGGCGATTTATATTCTTGATGTGTGTAGAGCAATGACAACTTTTTCAGAGGCATTAGTAAGGTATTTTCAGAGTATTAATTCACCACAAGCAAAAGTTATAAGCTTTATAAATAAACAACAAAAGTATATACAATTAGGTAATATGTGAGTTTATTGTAATATATACTAATATTATTGTTATTAAACCTTTTAGAAGTATAAACTTTGCAATAATTAACATTAAATAATCAAAGTAAAATGTTTATAAAAGATAAAAACTTCGTTATAAATAGATTTTGTCGCGCTCTTTTTTGAACTATTTAATTAAAAGTCTATTAAAATTTTCTTGAACAATAACATAAAAGCCCTTATTAACGACGATATGCTTTGCAACAACTCGAATATAAACGAGTAGATGTTGGAAATATTTTATCAGAGTGGATAATATTGAAGAAAATAATGGCAACTTGGACAAGTGCAAGTTCAAAATCATTTCCACCTCTATCTTGGTCACAAATAGCGACTAATATCAAATCAGATAGATTCGCTAATCTTTTTTCTCTGATTGATTTTTTATTTAGCCATAGCTTAAGTTCGGCAGACGCAGAAAAAGGCTTTAGCGCAATAAAAAAATTAAATGAATTCAAAGAACACGAGTCAGTAACAAGTTATTAACAATGCGATTGCGCATCAAGATTGATGGTCCAGAAATGGAATTATACAATCCAACAAAAGCCATTAAACACTGGCTTTTAAATCCATCACGAAAAAATAAAACTAGCATCAATCAAAAAGCTTTACATGGACAACAAAACTCCAGTTGTGTCAGTTAAAAAGTCAAAGAAAATACAGATTTTTGCTAGTAGCGATGATGATAGTGATAGAGCTGTAACAATTGATGACGATATATAATAATTTTGAATCTTGAATGTTTTTTACCTTTCAAAATATAAATAGTTTTTCTTGTAACAAATAAGATCGTAATAATTACAACACGTTAAAAGCAAAGTGTTTTAAAGTATTTGTACATTGTTTTTTATATTTGTCAACAGTTTTTTGTTGTAATCGAACGTCTATTTTTTTAATAAAATGAGCGCTCAAATAAAGTTTAAAAATATAATGGCATGTGTTTTTTTTGAAAGTAGAAAAGTGAATTTTATTAACAATTTTCAATATTACTTTTATTTGCGCATATTGTTTCTAGTGCACATTTAGCCATATAACAAAAAATGACTAAAACATGCGAGAACTTCGCTAAGTGGAAATTTTTTTTAAAAAATGGCAACGGGCGACTCAAAACGTCAGCGGGCGACCAAAATTAAAAAACTGGTTTCAGTTTGTTAATTTTCAGTTTCAGTCGCCCTTCTGGCGACTGACCAAAAGTCCGAGTGTACACCCCTGTATATATATATATATATATATATATATATATACATATATATATATATATATATATATATACATATATATATATATATATATATATATATATATATATATATATATAATATATATATATATATATATAATATATATATATATATATATATATATATATATATATATATATATATATATATGTATATATATATATATGTATATGTATATGTATATATATATATATATATATATATATATATATATATATATATATATATATATATATATATATATATATATATATATATATATATATATATATATACATATATATATATATATATATATATATATATATATATATATATATATATATATATATATATATATATATATATATATTATATATATATATATGTATATATATATATATATGTATATGTATATGTATATATATATATATATATATATATATATATATATATATATATATATATATATATATATATATATATATATATATATAATATATATATACATATTATATACCAGTGGTGTACTCTTAGGTTTTTTCCTGGTTGCCCTGTGTGCGTTCAAAACAGTTTTTATTTCTTATTTGAGTTGTCCACAATGATAATCAGTAGTCCGGTGTAAAAGTTTTTTTTTTGTTTTTTTTCTTGGGTGATAATACTGAAGAAAAAAAATTAAATATCTGACTACTAAAAATATTTAATAAGAAATGGTTTATTTAAAAGTAAATTAATTAATTTATTAATAAAATTATTTAAAGATGGGTTGTCATTTTTGTCGTAGTCCATATTGTTTTGTTTCTTTTTGTCAATCTTAACAAAGGTTTCATTACGTGAAATAAAAAAGGTTGAAAGCTAAACCTGCAAAGAAATTTTTTATAAATAGAAAAATATTCTATTATTCTCTCTCAACATTCAATCAATAAAACATTATGCTTTTAACGTTATAAACATTTTTCATTGTACAAAGACTATTTTTTTTAAGAAAAAAGAATTTCCACATGCATCTTTAATTGGGTTCTAATAATAAATTTTCACGTGCATCTTAATGTTTTTTATTTTGTTAATTTTAATTGACAAAGTTAAAATAGAAATTTATTTTACTAATGAAAAACAGGAGATTCAGTGTTATTAATGAATAAACTGCCCATTCATGTGATTCAAAATGACTATAAGGTTTGAAAAATGATACAATAGCATTTGGAAATAAAAAAATGTAATTTTAAAACTCGCTTTAAATCAAGAAGAAACGTGCTTTAAAACACAACAACATTTTAAAAAACAGTACAGTCACACTTCGAAATATTAAATGGCATGTCAGCTACTTTTTATTAAGTTTGGTGAAATTATATAACGCACACTAGTGCACTCATTGTTAAACTAGTTTAAATGTTTTTTAAAGTTTTCTTTAGAATAATCGCAAGGAATAAAATTTTCATGGATTCAAATATGGTTTTATTAATTAACAATATATATTTAATTAATTATATATATATATAATATATATATATATATATATATATATATATATATATATATATATATATATATATATATATATATATATATATTTATATATATATATATATATATATATATATATATAAATTAGTACTTATGTAAAGAAAAAGTATATAAAAGGTTGATGCGTAATAGACTTACAAAGACCCATATTTTTACCGGTTAGGTCAGGTAGTAGTTTTAATACTTTATGATGAAAAAATATATAAATACAATACCTTACAAAGAACCTGAAGAAGGTTTGTAACAATTTCAATGGTATTGTACTCTTGCAATAACTCTTTATGTTTAAAAGATGCCAAATCAGCAGTAATAACTTCATTCTAAATTGCAAATAATTTTTTATTTATATTTTATTCAAGATTTAGGTAAATTAGATTTTTTAATAGTGGTTGTATCACCATTGGTTGTTTTTTCATCATCTTAAAACTTTTCATCAAGATAAAAATTTTTTCAAGTTGAAAAACATTTCATTTGAAAAAAATTTAAAGATAAATTTAAAAAGTTTGTAAATAGATATATAAACATCATTATATAGCCAATGTATAAAAACCAGTGTATTAAAAAGTTTTTAGTAAAAATTTTAACTTAAAATTTACTAAATAATTAATAAAAAACTTAATGCTCAACAAAATACCTGAAACTGTATGATAGTATGATCAAAATACCTGAAACTTGAGTTTAAGATCATCAATGTCTTTTAATAGAGGTCGCATTACCCGCAACAAATCTTGTTGCGTTTTACTTGGAAACACATCCCTATATTCTTTGTGAATAACCTGATATATGGTTGCCTAAAATAGTGATCAATAATTCTTGTAAAAATTTCTTGTAAAAAATTCTTGTATAATATTAAAATATCCTTTAAACCTAAGTTATTTTGTTTGTTATTAAATTATTATTATTATTTTTTTTTTTTTTAATTATTCCTTGTTCTAAAAAAATCTATTTGTAAAAGCCTTAACATATATTTAAAAATTGTATATTAAAAATAGTTCTTTCATAACAGTGTAACTAAATGGTCTGTTTTAGAATTGTTCATTTTAATGTACAGGAAGAGTAGACTTATTTTCTCAACTTTTTTATTTAAGTGTTGCAATCAAGTAAAACTACATAAATTTGTTGAAAACAATCTAAGATTAAATAAGTTTATATCAAATTTATGGGTCTACTTTGGTCAATTGTATCAGAGTATAAATAAATTTTAAAATATTATTTCAAAGGACAAGGTTATAATTTTTAAATAAAAAAATTTTAAATATAAAACTTAATTTTTTTAAATTTAAAAAAAAGTGCTGATTTTTTTGATTAAATTAAAAATAAATAAAACAGATAATGAAAATGTTAAAAAAAAATAATTGTTTATTCATTACATAAATGAAAAAAGCAATAATAAAATTGAAAAAACTTTAAATAACTTAATCTCACTAAATCACAATTAAAATCAATCAACTATTAGTGAAAACCCCCAAATTTGACAATGTAATAGAAGGCTTTACCAAGTCTAAAGATCACCAAACATTTAAAAACAATTTTTATATACAAACAAAATGTTATACACTTCTACGATCTTAAAATCTCTTAAATAAAGCAGTTTTTATTTTCATTACTTCTTAGGCATTAAAATATAATTAAAAATTTAAACAAAGATTTTCTCAAGCAATTACAATTTTTTTTTTTTTTAATACTTGAATTATTAAAAAAAATTATTATAACAATGGATTCTGTTAAGTGTGAAACCAATTAAAACATATTAAAACCCAAAACATCTATAAAAATTTTAAACTTTATGTATTA